ATCAGATCCTGCCCTAGCCCTTGGCAGTGAGTGACTCCAGGGACAGTCCTCCGGCCACACGGCAGGGAAGAGGGCAGGCTGCTGCCTCTGGTCTATCTCTCATCTGTGTTTGTTCAGAGCAGGGCTGAGAAATCACTTGCAGCAGTAAATGTAAATCAACTGTAAAGACCCACAAATCTAGTTGTTATGGTTTAACTCAAAGTGCAGTTCGTAAGGACAGAGCTCGGTGTGACCAGGAATAATTCTGTGTCTGTGGGATTTGGTTTTACCACCTACAAAATGAAGCTATTGGACCAAGTGTCCCCCAAGGGTCTTTCAGGGCCAATGGCTCTGGGACTCAAGAGTTTCTTCCCAGGAGAGACAAAACTACTTTCCAGGTTCTGAACCAGACCATCCACTGCAGCAGCACTGGTATCAGCTCTGCAGAGGTCCCTGGGGCCGGTCCAGGCAGGCTGGGGCTCTGGGGACAGTGGCCAATGAACAGTGTCCGGCAGAACAGGTCAGCCTTAGGCAATGGGCAGTTGAGTCAAGCACAGATGCAGCCCCTGTCCCTGGTCGGGAGTGTTATCACCGTGGGTGATTTTCCTGGGCTCTAAGCAAAAGGCAGGTTTGTGAATTCTGAAGCATCAAACAATCAATAGATGTCTTTTAGAGAACATGCATCCTATCATGTAGCCACTGAAAGTGATGTTTGTGAATCCAAACAGCAATGTAGGGGAATTCTTTCAGGGTGTGGAGGGAATATGAGCAGGCACAGAGCCGGAGCAGCAGAGGCAGCGGTTCTTAGTGGGGTCCCCACACAGCAGCAGCAGCACTGCCTGGGGTATCTGTGGGATGTGCAGAATCTCAGACCCCAACCCGGCCCAGTGAATCAGAAACTGGGGGTGAGGCCCAATGATATAGAGCTTTTGCAAGCCTTCCAGGTGACTGTTAACATGGGTGGGAGGAGAGAACCGTCTGGATTCACAGGGCGAGGGCTCAAATCCCAACCCTCGCAGCTGCATATACCCAGCAACTCGCTGAACCTCCTTTGGTTTTCTCACCTATAAAATGGGGTTAACTCCTACCCCGAAAGATGACAGAGAGGATCCGAGTAAATATTAATTTATATATAAACTACTACAGTGCTAGGTATGAAACTAGGTTGCACAATATATATCTCCGTATTTCTTTCTCCTAAACTTTTGGTAAGGCAATCACATTACTCTGAAAGCAAAAAAGACGCATTTACACAGTGGCGCGAGTCCCCACCAATGAAGCCCTGCTCTGCGGCTGTGGTCCTGGGTGGGGACGTGCGGCAGGTGCGCTGCCATTAATCCATCAGCGGCGACAGCCTGTGACACTCCATCGGGGTGTGACATATTTCAACTCCAATCAAGAAATGAGCCTGCGAGCATGCTGATGGCTAATCAAGGCTGTAAACGGGGACACACTCTGGCACGCTTGTTAATGGCATTCTCCATTAAACTGGAGCCGCCCAGGTGTAAAATAGCTACCTCGACAGGGGCCTCCATGTGCTCAGGAAGAGGGGCAGACAGACAGCTGATGGCTCCCAACACTGTTTTACTCAACTGCCTCACGCCGGCATATTCCTCAGAGCAGCTTCTAGTGTTTAAAAATATGTCACAAAACTGACATCGAGGACCTCGCTCACACACTGACAGGATTTTACATTTTTAATCCTTAAATATTTCCCAGTAGGTGAATTACCCAAATTAGTCAATAATAGAACCCAAAATGACTATGTTTAGCCAATTGAGTGTGACATCAAAATTCCTGACCGCCTGAGCCATCTCTCCCTCAAAGCCGTTTTAATGCGACTGTCCACAGGCACTGAAAGGTTGCAATTTTGCTGTACTGATGGAACGCCACAGCAGAAGGTTATAAACTAATAAACACGGATGTGGACACGCGGGACGCACCACCCCCAACGCCTCACCAAAGAACACGGCGTTCCTGTTAATACCTAGAAGTTTTAAGAAATGTTATTTCCACTAATATCAATTTTTCACCCAGACACATCTTTCAAAATAGGACTTCCCACGGTGATAGACTTGCTGGCAACTCAGGTTAAAGAAGTCATTCAGTAAAGAGTGATTTCTGACAGATTCATTCATTTCCTGTGATAATGGCCATATTGTGGAGTTCACCTCCATTTTGGTATAAATGTAGAACACCATAAAAATAATCAGCCGAGAACAGTCCTCGAATACACTGCTCCTTTTAGAATCAGCTCCTACAGTTTTCTGCTGTGTAACTAGTTGTCTTCTTCTTGCGAGATTTCTGGGGACCTGAAGTCCAATTAGGTCTCTGGTTTGAGAAGAAGAGTAGGGCAGTCACTGGGCTGGAACCACTCAAATCTACACCAGTCCAGAGCAAAGTGAAGTTACTTTTCTGGGTAGAACAGAAAGAGGCCTTGGAGGAAGTGTTTTTCTGAATGTCCCCCATGGCTCTCAGAAGCTGGATTTCTTGGCCCCTCACCCTCATGGCAAACCGCACTGCCCCCCCAGGACACAGAGCTTCCGGAAGGGCTGTCAGCCATGCTGGGGCCAGCTGTGCTCTGCGATCCTGGCACACGGAGTTGGCAACCCTGCCCTCTGCTGTATGGGTCACCACACCAAGCGCGGCATCGAGTTCCCAGGCCGCTCTCCGAGAGGTGTCGACAAACCGCAGCCCATTTGGAGACGTGTGACCGGGATGCTGAGAGGGCGCGAGACCTCGGCGTGAGGAGCACGGCGAGGAGGGGTTTCTGCTGCCTCTGCAGCCAGGGGTTGGGCAACATGACCGCACTCATCCGAAAAGCTGTCCTGTGGCAGGGCTGCCAGGCGTGCTCTGTGGGACCCCATGGGCGGGAAGAACCGAAACGAGGGGCGCAGTCTGTGGAGGAGAAGCTGCCCCTCCATCGCGCTGTGCCTGCAGGAAGTCACAGCTGGCAGCGTAGCGTGCTCCTGCCCCCGGTGAGTGGCCAGGAAGTCACCTGGCAGCAATGCCTGTGGGGAGTGCATGAGCCAATGATTCTATAAATAATAGTACCTTGGATTGATACATTTGAGGATGGGCTGTGGCAGGTCAACCAACTGGAATAGATACAAATAAATGTTCCCGCAGGATGGGCCACAAAACATCTACAGAGCCCTGGCCACGGTAGTTTCTGCTTTTGCTAAGCTGATCCTCTGCCCTGAATGTACCGTTGAACGTATCCTGCTGTCTTCCACAGCCCTGGCCGGCCGGCCCTCCCCAGACCTTTCCTGGAGACTTGAAGCCATCTCCCCACACCTAAAGACACTTCTCTGGGCGTGGGAAGGACGTCATTATCCTCTGGGAGATTGTCTCTTAAATGGCACATACAGCTTTGCTTAGATCACGCTGGCAAGTTATCCTTCTGGGCTGCCTTAGGGCCTTGGGCAACCTCTTCCCACCTCGAGGCTTTGACCTGTCTCCTATGAACACAAGAGAACTGGCCTGGATGACCAGCGTCCTTTGGTCCTTCCCACACTCACAGTGCTGCAGGGCCTGTCCTGCCCGGTCACGTGGTCGCCAGTTCTCAGAAATGACTTCACCTGCAGCCGGTACGCTCGATCTAATCTAAAGCAAGCTGGAAAATCAGCTTAGCCGGCAGTCAGCTGCAGGATGCTCCTTCCGGGCTGCTGTTTGGGGAGACACTGTTTCCTCCCACCTGGGCCCCGCGGCCTGCCGGGGGTTGCATTCTTCAATGGATGCATTTTTCATTATGAAAAGAGTTAAAGGAAACATCAAGTGTCCTCACCTCTGGCTAGCTTTTGGCATTTGTGGCTAGGTGACGGGTATTTGTCAGAGCCCAAGGAGGAAGCCACATTATCCATATACCACTGAAGTGAGTCCTCCTCTGCTCACACCACTTTCTTGTCCCTGCTCCTTACTGTGAGTCCCTGTCCCTGGGTTTGATGTTTCCAGAGCAGTATTTCCAGTCCTGTTTTTGATGAATGAACTTCCTCCACAGTAATTTGTAATTCCACAAACCCCCTACAATTAAAAAAAATCATTTTATCATTTTTGCATGGCTTACGGTAAAAAAGATTTTAAGTTAAATATTTTATATGACTATATTAGTCAAAGATTACATTAAATGAGCATTAAAAGACAATTTTTAATAATGCTCATTATAAAGAAGGACACATTTCAACATTTTTCATTTAACAAGTTACACATAACATTTCATTCCCTTTAAATTAGTTGTGCAAGGAGAGATGGATTTGTTGACAAAAAAATGACATTTTGGTTCTGGGACAAACGTATACTTAAAACATAATTGAAACTTAATTAGGTGCATCAGCTTCAAAAACAGATAAAAACTGCTTTTGTGACTTGGTCTTTAGAATCTGTTATTTCAAGCTTCAGAGAAATCCACTGCAGTATTTTCGTCCTTGTTCAGATGTTATCTAAACGATAAGACAAAGCAGAATCTGGAGATGTTTTCAAGATCTTTTTCCAAATAACATATTGCTGGTAATACTTTTTTTCCAATCAATAAAAAGGCAAGCAGGTGAAATTATCTCTGCATTAGCTGCCCCTCCTTGCTCGATTCCCTCCTCTTCCCGTCTGATCACTAAAGAGTTCAGATGACCTATTTACAGCAAGAACTCGGACCGGATGATCACAGTGCATGGATCTGGTAAAAATAACCTTGAGGCAAATTTGCAGAATTACCACCCTTCGGCTCTTCATTAACTCGGGCTGGCCCAACATAAATGTCTTTCGTGTTTCCTGTCTGTCATTTTGTATAACTACAGTGGTCCACTTTGGTTATGGACGAAGCCACCTACGACAAATAGTAAAAGCAACTTAACAGCGCAGGGCAGTCAAAGCGAACCGAAGTGATAAACTGGTGACAGGTCCGAGTTCCACGAGCCAGGCACTTTCTTGTGACACATGCACACACATGCACACTCAAAGGCCCCCAAAATTCCATTTTAGGGGAAACTCCTGCGGGCACCACCTGCAAGGCAAATCAAACCCCCTCCACGCTGTGGCTGTCAGGAGCCCAGTCTGGCTCAGTCCCTGCCTGTTTCACCCACACCCAGGCGCCCCCTTGGACAGAGGCAGAGGAGAGGCTGCGTCTCCCGGAAGCAGCTCCTGTCACGTCCCGGGCAACCTCACCCTCCTGCCTTCACGTGGGTCTGCACATCCGGGCACCAGGCCTCCTGCCTATCGCCGGCTGGGTCTCCCGGCTCCCTGGCCCTGCCAAGCACAGGCAAGGCGTCATGAGTAGCGACTCGCTTCTCGGGACCACACAAAGCCACTTCCGGCCCAGCCCACAGGCCCCAACCCCCCATGCTCCCCACGCTGGGTGCTGCCTGGGGCCCGGTGGAGCCTCCTTTCTCAGACACTGGCCCTGGAATCTGAAAGGTAGGTCAGCAAGGCCCTTCATCAGCTGCCTCTGTTGAAGAACTTCAGTTTTTCATTTTCTAAGAAGCAGGAACATGAATGGCTTGTTGGCATTTTACTGACAGAGGTGTGGGCGAGTGACTGGATCCCTTGCAGGCCTGGCACTGAACCAATGGGAAATTACAGGCTCTCGGGGGATCATGGCATCAGCTGTCAGGGGTGCAGGGCACAGCCCGGCCTGCCCACACACGCACACAGATAAACACCACACACAGGCACACGGAGACACACACAAAGACACAGTCACACAGGCAAAGGCGTACACACACACACACACACACTGACACACTGACACATGCACACACACACACAGATACACCCAAAGACACACAGACACTTACATATTCACAAACATACCTACAGACACACAGATACCGTAACACACACATGTAACTCGTACACAGTCATGTCCACACACACACCACAGACATTCATACCCACACACAGCCCTAAATATTTAATCAACATTCAGGACAAGCAGAATATACTTCATATATCAGAAATCACTCACTTCTTCCCTCAGAGGAGACAGCCAGGGAGAGGACAAGAGGAGAGGTGAGGACCCTGTGTACCTGCATCTGACAGGTAAGGCCGAGGCTGCCCATCCTGCCTTGCTCTGACTGTGAGGGCAGAGCACAACCTTCAAGGCTGGGTAAACCTTGGAGCAGAAGTCCAGGCCCTCCGGAGGCTGTGCGAGACTGGCTCCAGTAATTTTCTAACACAAACAGACCAACAAGGGCTGGGGGGCGGGGTTCAAAGGGCCTGGCACAGGGTAGGGAGGACGAGGGTGGGCTCAAGCCTGGGCCACAGCGCAGAGCAAGTTGCTGACCCTTTCAAGCCTGGTCTCCCCACCTGTAGAGGGGGCTGTGGTGGGACCGAACCAAGTGGGGAAACGTGGTGAACGCGGCAGCCAAACACAACAGGCCTGATCCATGACCCAGCTGTGGGATTCTTTCACCTGTTCACCAGTGTGGCTTTTCACGGGGAGAATTTCCAGTGGGAGATAGAGAGATACGGCGAGTCTAGAGGGCAGCAGGCCGTTAGGAGGGGTCCGGCAGGGGATGGCGTTGGGCAGGCTGAGGAATGGGCTTCCTGTGACAGACGGCGGGAGAATCGGTGAGGGTCAGCAGGCGGGAGCGGACAGGAGAGGCACGGTTTGAGCAGGTGGTGATCTTCAAGAACATCTATTCCTGAGTGGCCCCGTTGTGACGGAGCCTGTCAGGTCCCATGTGCTGACCTGTGATCTGAGCAGGCTGAAAACCCAGGCCGGTCATGAGTAGCCTGCATCTCACTGCTCACTGTGTGGAAATGTATTTTGTTTTGCGTGTTTTATGAGGTGAAAAAGTCAAGAATCATTCAACATAGATGAGACATCTGAGGCCCAGAAAGGAGGGGGGAGTTGTGAAAAGTCATCCAGAACTGCGACAGCACCCTGGTCCTGGAATAATACACCTTCTCCAGGTCCTTTCCTCTCAGCAAACCACGGCCCAGACAATCACAGGGTCTCCTGAACTGAGGACAGGGGGCCAACATGGAGGAGCTGGCTGCTCCCCGAAGTGCGGCCTGCCCGGGGCTCCTCAGCGTGGCTGGGAAGTGCTCCCTGGGGATCCAAACACTGGGATCCTCATTAACACTGTTACCCAGAACACTCATTTCACTCAACATCTTCCAGGGAAAGGGCAGTTAAAAACCTACTCTGAAAAGAGCAAAGATGTACTTTAGCATGAAACTGAGAAGATGCTCCAAACATGATGTAGACCATCCCAGGCCAGAGGGGTAGAAAGCACGCCAGGGACGGAGGAGCAGACGGATGCTCACAGCCTCACACAACCACTCCAGCCCAGGCGAACAGAGGTACTGAACCAATGGGAAACTACGGGCTCCCGGGGGTCATGGCCGCCCCTGTCCAGCTGAGGGGAGCCTTTGCCTGGCCCGTCCTGGCTCGAGGCACGGCAGGGAGAAGGGAAAGGGACGCTCGCTCTCCCTGAAGTGAGAAACACCAGCAGGCCCTGCCTCAGTTTGGGCCTCACCTGCCCCGAGAGGCATGTGCTGAAGAGAGCCCCCAGCTTGGCACTGCTTCACAGGTGGGGCCAGGGGGAGGTCTCGAGGGCTCGGCGGAACCCAGGCCCTCCTCTTCCTCTTCTTTTCACTTCCTGGTCATGAGCTGAGCAGTTTTATGCTACCTCGAGCTACCTACTCTATTGCAAGCCCCAAAGCCACAAGGCCCATCCATCACGGACAGAAACCACGAGCCAGAATTAACCTTTTCTAAGTTGATTATCTCAAGTGTTTGTTACAGCGATGGAAAGATGACCAGCATAGGCACCTTGTGGAACTCAGGTTTCAACAAGTCAGGCTTAACAGGGGAACTCGGAGGCGGGGGACAGAGGAGACATAGGTGTCACACACACGAAGCATGGCCTATGCTTTCTTTTCCTTTTCTTTTAACGCTCGCTGGCCCGAGCAGAAGGGGAAGTTGTCCCTGTCTCTCCGACGAGCCGAGACTCGGGTTAAGTGGCTAATGGAGCTGGTGAGAGTGGCACTGGCGTCCCCAGTCTGCCTGCACAGGACTGTAGCTGCCTAAGTCCACACCTTCCCACCACCCACACCGGTTACTGTTTAGCATAGGCTAAAATCTAATCAACAAAGAAAGTCCCTGTGTCAGCAGCAGTCTGTGGAGGGGAAAGTGAACATTAACAAATGCCTGATTATTGTAAACTAGCTGGGAAATGCCATGCCACTAAATCATGCTGAAGCCTAACATTTCGAAACCAAAGCACTCAATCTGCTGGCCTCTAGCAGCTGCCCCTGAGGCCCCCCCACAGACCACAGGGTGCTGGGAAGGGGTGGGTGGGGAAAGGATCCACCCGCAGGTCTAGCTGGGGACGGCCAGCCTCCAAGGAAACACCCTCCAAGGGGAGTCCCGATAGTCCCTGGCTCCGCGCAGGGGTCAGGGAGGGCTGGAGAAGGAGGCAGGCAGAAGCAGGGCTGGAGGGACAAGGCCCACGCAGTGAGCAGGCGGGATCACACTGTGCAGGCTGTGAACTCGGTCACCCTCCATGAACACTCGCAGGGCGTCTACAACATGCCCGGACTGTGCTGAGCTCTGGGGTTACAGGGCTCGAGGGACTCAGTCCAGCGGAGGGAGGGTGCATCTGAATCGTCCTCACACGAGGGCAACAGCTGGGCAGGTTACTCCCTGCTCCCCCTCTGTGCCACTGCTGTGGCAGCCACATGACAGACGTGTATCTCGATGGAATCTCAGGGCCCTGGCTCTGGCACAGGGCTGTCCAGTGGGGCAGGTGCATTGGGGGCAGAGGGTTCAGACGTGGCCATGAGGCAGGAGTGCAGGTGAGGGAGAGGCTGGGCGGGAAGGGCTGAGCCGATTCAGGAGGAACGAAGTAGAGTAGAGGCGCCTGTTGGGGGTCCCGGCAGAGGACCTTCCAGGGCCGCTGTTATGGCTCTCAGGGTCAGGAGGGGTCTGTGCTCATGACGCAGATTTGGAAACCACTTTTGGGGAACACAGAGCACTGCTCACGAGAGAATATGCAGAGTGACAAGGGAAAGGATGGCGTCACTGAAGGGGAGGGAAACAGAAGCAGGCCAGGAGGGCGAGAGCCACAAAGTATACTTATTTGGCAGACCGGAGAGTCTTTCCATACCTGATAGGCAACAGTGAGTGAAAAACAGCACCTCTGAGCACATACCTGTAATCCCAATACTCTGGGAGGCTGAGGCAGGAGGATCACAAGCTTGAGCCCAGCCTGAGCAATTTAGTGACTTCGTGAGACTCTACCTCAAAATAATAACTAAGAAAGGGGCTGGAGATGTAGCTCAGAGCAAGGTTGGGGTTCAATCCCCAGGACTGTGGGGAAGGGACTGTGGAAGGACCCAGCCCCTCCAGTAGGGGTTCTGGTAGGTGAGCAGAGACTGGATCTGTGAAGCAGTACTGACAGAGAACTGGGAACGAACCTCTCAGGCAGACAGGGGCTGGATTCTACGCAGCATATGTGGTGCTTGCGGGAGCAGAGCCCGGACTCGAGGATGCCACCAATTCGCCAGCCAGGTGACCTGGGTCGGTCATCTGCCCTTTCCAGATGAGGAAACTGAGGCATGGAGCTGGAGAGGATGACACAAAGGGGACGGGGGAGAGGGGGCAGACCATAGCCCCTGGGCACCAACCAAATCCCCGCGGAGAAGGCACTGGAACCCCTGTGCTTGTGGAGCTCTGTGGGTTCAGGGCCTTTTGAACCTCAGTGTCTGGGAACACGACAGCTTCCTTCAGACTGCAGATGTGAGCAGGAGAGAAATAAGCCGGGCTCCCCAGGGAGTCCGACACCCCAGGGGCTGTGGCTGCATCTCCAGCGGGCATGAGACAGTCTGCGGTGTGCTGGATGGTTCTGGGTCTGCCAGAGGAAGCTGTTCTGATCGGTTTCCGTCCTCAGCCCGACAGGTCACGTACCTTCCTGGCTGCTGCTGCTGCACTTTGCCCAGAGTTTCTTACTTTTTGCCACAGCCCTGCGGAGCACGACTCTCCTGACTGACTCAGCACTGAACACTACTCACGGACCTCCACTCGCCTGGCAGGTGGCAGCCCTGTGACATGGATGCTGGATTGGTCCTGGTCTTGGGGTATCATGCACTACTGAACTCCCCAAACATCTGGGGACAAACAAAATAGGTCACCAAATAGGTCATCATTTGTAAAGTAAAAAAATGCTTTCAACACTGAACAGCTAAGCTGGGCGTGGTGGCGCATACCTGTAATTCCAGCACTCGGGAGGCTGAGGCAGGAGGATCGCTGTGAGTTCAAGACCAGCCTGGGCTTCATAGGGAGCTCCAGGTCAGTCTCAACTACATAGTGAGACCCTGCCTCAAAAATCAAACAAAAAAAATAACAAGGGCCAGGTAGATTTAGCTCAGTGGTTCCACCGCCTGCCTTGCAAGCACAAGGTCCTGAGTTCGATCCCCAGTACCAAATAAAAAATAAATAACAAAACACCCTCAAAACATCAAACAGCTAGTCACTTCTGCTTCATAAAGAACACATTTCTGACAGTCACACATGCATACCCAGACACAGACACAGTCTCAAAGAGGAAGGACACAGAAGAAAGTCTGGCTGTCCGCTGGCTCTCAGCCTCTGAACTGGGCCCTGGACCTAGGGAAGCCCCTCTGAACAGACCAAGCCCACCTCCCCTGCAGAGGTAGAGAGCAGCAGCCTGGCTACCTTCCTTGCCGCCCTGGGCTCACAGACGCACACGTTTAATCAGATGCCAGGGGTGGGAAGTGCACGGCATACACAGTGTTTCTGCCTGAGCCCGTGTGTTGGTGGCACAAGCTGGGGACCTCACCAGCAGGGCAGAAGCAGCTGGCCAGGCCTGAGAATGACTGGGCATCACTCTGGCAACAGGGCCTCTGGGCCTGGCTCTCCACCCTTCTGCACACACTGCTGCCTAATACCCTTGCAACAAACTCCTTTTCTGTTTCAATTTGCCAGAATTCATATCTGTTGCTTACAACACAGAGCCCTGACTGACCGAACATCATCTCACAATAAAGGACAACCCTTAAATGGGATGCATTTAGCTTTATGAAAGACTCACAGGGTCTGTGTTTTCTCTTTGGCTGTAGACCAGTCCGACCGAGACAGGCACAGGTCAGCAGATTGGGGCTGCGCCACCCTGCTCCCCTACAGGGTCACGGAATGGAAACATCGGTGAGCAGAACCGAGGCCGGCCTGCCCGCCCTACGCCTCCCCGTCCCTTAGCTGAGATGGCAGCTCTGCCACCTCCCTCTCACACCCCTCCCACTGCTGCCCACGCCTCTGCCGTGCCCTTGGTAATCGCTCCCACTCCCGAGGTGCACAGTCTTCTTGTCCATGTTGATTCCTTGCTTTAAAGCTCTTCTAAGAAAAACCCCTCCCGAGCCACCCCGAACTGCCTGCCCAGCCTCCCTGAGTGCTCCACACAGGAGCCTGGCCCTGCGTAACCGGGAAGTTTGCTCATCCACCGAGACACACTTTGTTTCCTCTCTCGCGGTGAGATGGAGGACAATTCATCCCCATCCTCCACAGGAGGGTCCTTCAAAGACAATTAAGTCCCTCCGCAGGCTCTTTCTTGCAAAATGAAATTACCCCTAATCCTTTGTCCTGTCTTCAAGAGTTCTGTTTTCCAGTCCTTTAATGGAGTGGCCTCCGTCCAGGGAACCGCACAGCTGGGAGGGCTGGGGCCTTGGGCATGAGGCTTGCAGAGACATCTGCGAGAACAGCAAGCTCTTCTCAGATCATCCGCCAAATGGAATTACCTCGCCCGCAGCAGGGCACCCAATCCTCCCCCAGAGCCAGTGAGGAAGGAAGCTGGGGCAGCACAAGTGCAGGGAGGGTAACCCGAGACACCTGAGGGTCTCCCATGCCAGGTTCAGCACTGCGGTTTGGTGGAGAGAGGTGGACAGTTCAAATCGGAAAGTGATGGAAGAAAGCAGCAAACGCCACCTCGCCACGAATCTTGGGTTTTCTCCATGAGGCCCATAGATTCTGTCAAGGTGAGCCCCGGGTCATTCCTCTTTGACCTGCCCAGTGGTGTTAACTTGGTCTGGCAGTGGAGAGGGGTGGCCAGGGGGAGAGGGAAGCGGATCTTAGCAAAAGAGTGGGTCGCTACTCGAACTTCTAATTAACCTCTCCGCAGTAATGGCAGTCAGGGCTCAGTGGAGTGGGAAGAACCGTGAAGCCATGTCCAGGGTCTGGCATGATCAGCCCCTGCCTCACAGAAGCGGGGTCACGCACGGCATGGGCACACTGAGGGCAGAATGGCAGGTGTGCACTTCTCCCCGCCCACCGGCTGGCCCCACGAGGGGCTTCTGGCTAACTCTGCCAGTGCGACTCTGTGGATGAACCATCTTCTCTCATGAGTGACCGCTAACAGGAGGCTGCAGGGCGGCCTTCACCGGCCTGGCAGCGAAAGCTGTACGTCTGGGCTGCATACACGGCCCTGGGCCCTGCACCTCACGGTTCAGCCAGTTCATCACAGGCACCCTGGGCCTCACCTTTCCCCCAAACGAAACTGAGAACTGCAGGCACTTTCTTGAAGGCAAACAAGAAAATCACCCGAAGAACCAAGTAATCTTCAGAAGTCAAAATCATCCAGGGCAAGCATCACACTTAAGTAAGAGCGCAGCAACTCGGCAAACTGACAAGCAGTGCTTCACAACATTAGCGGTGACCTGGAGACAGCCGGTCGGCAGCAGAGGCACAAACCAGCCGTCTTCCCGTTTGTGAAAGGACACGGGGCAGCAGGCCTCCCAAAGAGGCCAGGGACCCTCAGAACCACGTGTGACTGGCCAGCGGCATCGCCCGCACAGGATTTCTGCAGTGCCGCCTCTGACCCCGGGCACTGGACCAAGCCCTGGACCCATCGCCTCTTCCACTCCCACTGAATGCAGCGTGATTAGCCTTGGGAGGAACTCGTGAACCGTCTTTTGTTTAGGCCCAGGGGCTTGGAAACTTTCCGGCTGATGGCAAACTCCACGCCATTCCCATTCTTACTGCTCTAGCCCACGCTTTGGGGTTTCGAGCCCTCTTTCCCCAAGACCAAGACCCCATGTCCTGTTGCCCCTCCCCAGCCTCAGAGAAGGACTCAGCCATCTGGCACCACTTGCTCACGATAAACACGGGTCAGCCTGGCTCCTTTCCTCTTCCTCCTCCGTCCATCAGCAGCTGCATGTAACAACCAGGCACTAAGATAACTAAGGAAGGGCTGGGGAGGTCCTGGCCCGGGAATCATCCACGATGCTGAGACCTCAAATCAGAACCATGGTGTGTTCGTCCAAGTTCTCTGAAATTCAACTACAGACAAGCTCTGAGCAGATTCAGGCATGACCTAGCCACTCAACAACCCCGCAACACCCAGCCCCAGCTGTCCTAGAACAGAGCCCTGCAGCGTTTCCTGAGAAGTCTAGAAATGAGACACACCTAAACGGAACTAGAGGTCATGCCATGCAGTGCGAATCAGAAGACACCCATGACTCAGGTCTTGGCTCCTGCAGAGGCCATGAGTTATGGACTGGGCCTATGTGCTGGCCTAAGTGACTCAGAAAGAATCGATCTCCGTGTGGCCGGAAGAGCCCAAGGCGACCCTCAGAACCAAGGACTCAAAACCGCTGAGGCTAGGAGCTGCCACTCTCACATCTGGGAAGGAGCAAGGCAGCATGAGCAACACCTGCTAAATTCCGGGCCACGCCTTCATTTCCCAGTGCAGGAAGAAAGGACCGTTTTGTCTCATGTCACCTCCCGACAGCAGGAAGGGGTGAGGGTGAGAAAACTCTTCGGGCACGCACACGACGGACAGCAACCTGGCTGACTTCTCCATGCTTCTTAGGCCCACCCTTCCGGAGGCACCCACTTCTAGTCTCCCACCCTGCCCTTGCCCAGAGACCTGTTCCTTACCTGGCCCCACTATCCTGCGCCGACCAGTTTTACACACACCCTTAAATACCCAGGTGGTACAGTCAGTTGTGGAGGCCAAATACTCCTGTTTCGTCTGCCCCAAGCGCCCACACACATCCCTACCCCTCATGCCCCGAGTGGCTCCCTCTTGCCTGGCCTCCCCCATTCTGACACCACTCTATTTTGCAAGTGTCACATCAACATTAGAATCCCACTTTTCTCTCTTGTCCCCTCCACTAGGTTAGATATCCCTTGGGAAGGGGAATGACCATGTTTCCTTTGGCATTTTTGTCCATGCTGCTGTGCCTTGCATATAACAAGAGTTTAGTATCTACTTATTGAACGCACGGTTATATGAATGATGTTAAATTTAAGAAAACTTAATTTTCTTCTTGGCCCATGTAATAGAACAATCAGGCAATGTATTTCAAAGTCCACAGTTCAGTGCTGAGGGACTAGGGGAGGAAGAGGACCCTGGGAGGGAGGGGGAAGTGGGCAGGGAAGACTCCCTGGTTCCCCTGTGCACCCAGAAGTTCCCTGAAGGGGGAAGCTTTGCCTCTGGAGCGTGAGGAAGTTTGCAGATGGGATTATTTGCTGTGTGGTTTCTCTGTTTATGCCTGTTTTATTACCTCCAGCCTTGACTCAGCAATCAGAAGGGGATTCACAGGAAGGGCCCTCCTCCCTACCCGAAGAGACTATAGAATTGGCAAGAAGTCCAAGGAGGACTGCGGACAACAGCTCCCCTGTTACCCCTAAAATTCTCCTCCCTGAAGCCAATGAAATGTATGTCCCTGAACCAGAGCTGTCCCCTAGAGGGGTCCAGACCCAAACAGCCTATGGGCACCACTGCCCCCTCACAGGGGCCCTCACACCCGGCCCCAAACAATACCCTTTTGCAGCACATCTGATGCCCTCCCAGTACCCTGATAACGGCAGCCCACCCGTCCAGTTTCTCGAGCCACACCTAGATGAACCCCGGAGGCATGCAGATGGCCTTTCCTCCTCTCAAATCCACTGGCCTCTCTCCACCTGTGCATCGGTCAACTCATCCCTAGCTGCCGCCTTCAACTCGCGCCTGGACTCCTGCATCATCTTAATGTCACCCCACAACCTCCCTCAGAAGGTTGCACGTGATAGCAAGAACCATCTTTGTGAACATGTCACGCCCTTAAAAACCCCAAGTCAGTCTGTGCTCCTGCAATGAGGAGATTCTCTATGTGGCTGGCAAGACCCTTCATGGTGCCTCCCTGCCTCATTTTCCTCCTCCCCGCGCTTTCTCACCGCCAGCCTCTCTGGCCTTCGTGCCTTTCTTTGAATGTGCCACACTCACTCCG